GTGTTGTAGTCATGTTCCTCCACCTGCAGTGTAAATTCCCTGGAGTCAGAGATGATGTTCTCTCAGCATCTGGGGCTGCTGGGCCCAGAGCAGGCAATTGCTACCATACAATTGATAACTCTGTGTTGATCAAGTCAGTCCCCTTGGCCTTCATAAAGACCAGACCCAAGCTATTCTGAACTGAAAAGAAATGGTCTCAGTCCAAAGCTGTTCAGGGAAATGGTGGCCCTGAGCTACCTGGGTGATTCAGAACCAAGATTCATGATTTTCACAATTATGGATTCCATCTTTGTTTTTAATCTACAGATGTAAAAACCAGCAAGCAACTAAGTCTAGCATAGCAGAGTTTCCTCATCTGTGAAACAAACTACTATAGTGTCTATTTCAAAGGGATATTGAATGAGCTTTAAACAAGTTATCTTTTTATAAGGGCTTAGACCAGTGGCTGGCAATCATTGTGACCATTAAATAACATAATACTCTTACTGGGAGTTCTGAGAGAGAATAAAAAACTCCTATTTAGCCCTTTTGAGATTCCAAGACACTTAATTCAGAAAAACCTTTGCTTTCATGAGTTTCTTTTTATAAAAACGTGTATTTTGAGCCTTATCATAGCTCCCCTGATGGAAAGATGAGGAAACAGAGGCTTATATTAGTGGCAAATCAAGATCACACACATAGCAGGCAGAAGGCATGGGCGAAAGGGTTCTAACCCCAGATCTCACTAGTTTTCTGCTCTGGCAGGCTGCCGGCAGGCTACCAGCAGGCTGTAAGTCAATTCTTTAAGCCAGTGGTTCTACCCTCGAGCATGCATCAATATACCTGGAGCACTGGTTACAACACAGAATACTGCCCCTTCCCCAGAATTTCAGATCTGGCAGGTCTAGCATGGGCCCCAGAATCTGCACTTTTAATAAGCTCCAAGGTAATACTGATATTACTTGTTTGGGGGCCACACTTTAAGAGCCAGTACTCTAAGAAACCAATTCATCAGTGCAATAGCTTATATCTGGAATGTTCCCCAAAGGCCCATGTGTTAAAAAGTTTGGTCCCCAACTTGGTGCTAGTGAAAGCTGGTGGATACCTTTAAGAGGCTGGACCTGGTGGGGAGGTTTTAGGTCATAGGGGGTATGTCCTCAAAGGGGACTGTGAGACACCCATATTTTCCTCTTCCTTTTTATAAACAGGCTTTTTCCACCCTGCACTCCTTGCTGTGGTGTGCTGCCTCATCACAGGCTCAAAAGCCATGGGGCCAATTGACCATGGACTGAAGCCTTCAAAACCGTGAGCCCAAATAAACCTTTCCTCTTTTTAGGTTGATCATCTCGGGTACTTTGTTTCAGTAATGGAAAGCTGACTAACATAAGCAGAATGCTGGAGTAAGAAATACATTCATTCATCTGCCTTAAGCTACCACTCTGCTTCTCCCTACTTAGGTTTGCTTCAGAGTTATGTACTTTCCTATTTACCTGCTCATTTTTATCATTTTTACATATAAATTTTCAAAAGTCTTATTTCTAGCAGACAGCTTTCATTTTGATGAATTTTTCCTGTGTTTCACTTTCCTGCCTCATCTGTCCCTGTGGGGGAAAAAGCACCACAGTGAGACTGAAGATGTGGCGTCATTCATGAACTCTGCCACTTCCTAACCAATAAGATCACTGAGGGGACATTTACTTATCAATAATGTGGGGACACAAGATTTTTGCCCTGCCGATCAGACAATGATATTTTAATGTTCCAAGGAGATGATGTGTGTGACCATAGTTATGTGGATGTTGCATGGCCACAAGAGAATTTATATACCATGAATATCAGGAGGCATTTTCTCTCCGTATTTATCTTCTACCAGTTCTATAAACTGGTTCTCAAAGTGTGGTCCCTAGACCAGTTGCATCAGCATCACCTGGGAGTTCAGTAGAGATGTAAATTCTCAGATCCCACCCGAGACCTTCTAAGTCACAAACCCTGGGACAAGGGCTCAGTGATATATGTTTCAACAACCCTGATTGTGTGGTTCTGAGCACAAAATCTAGAGCTAGACCCCTGGGTTCAGATCCCAGTTCTGTTACTTCCCAGGGCTAACAACCCTAGGCAAATTACTTATCTTTTTGAGCCTCAGCTTCCTGTTCTGAAAAACAGAGGCAAGACTAGGATCAAATCTGGTTGAAAAGATTAGGAAAGTGGGTTAGTGCAAAGCAGGGATCTGGCACATTGTAATCCTTAGTACCTACTGAATTTATTTTTTATTTTATTTTTTTAAAGCATATGTCTTCTTGACAACATGCCCTTGTGCCTACTTTGTGAAAGATTGCCCATTGTACTTTAGCTTGCTGGAAAGTTTTCCATTTAATTTGCTTGCAAGTATGTATATTGATACATGTGTTTTGTTTATTTATGTTGCTACAGTTTGCAGTCAGTAGATTTTTGTTTTATCCAACAAAGGTTCTTTGGTCCTACCACCTTCTTCTGAATAAGAAACATATTTACCTGTCTTAAATAATGTCTTTTTTTGGGGGGGAGGGGGTACCAGGGATTGAACCCAGAGGTGCTTAGCCACATCCTCAGCCCTTTTTATATTTTATTTAGAGACAAGGTCTCACTAAGTTGCTGACGCTAGCTTTGAACTTGCAATCCTCCTGCCTCAGCCTCCTGAGCCACTGGGATTCCAGGGATGAGCCACCACACTGGCTAATAGTGTCTTCTTAAGTAACATTCATTTCCTAATCTCACTCTTAATCAGTATTATTTTCCTTTTCTTTCTTTCTTTCCTTTTTTTTTTTTTTTTTTTTTTTT